GAGCCCTGGCAGCCAGGCCAGTGATTAGGGCTCTGTCAGCCATGCCTGCAGCAAAAGGCCTGGGGAGGGACCTTGAAGGCCAACCCAAGACCTTGGGAGTAGGCAGCTGGCGTTGACTGCTGAGTGTGGCCTCGAATGGCCCCACCTCATCCTGGGGTGTGCCCAGGGGGAGAGTTGAGCCCTGAAGCTGGCCCTGAAGGCCACCCCAGCCGCTCCAGAGCTGACCCCAGTGGCGTCACAGGGAGTGACTCAAGCCCCAGCAACAACAGTGAGAGGGACTGACGTCAGGACAGGGGCTCCTGACGGTGGCCAGCCTGACTGAATAGCCGGCCTCCTGCCTGCTGACCCTCCAGCCCGGGCCAGGCGGTGGGGGCAATGAGGACCAGCTGTCTCCTTCTGACATCTGTACCCTGGGATCCTAGGCAGTAGCTCCTCCACCTCCCACCCTTTTTAGGATGTCACTCCCCACCCCCGCCCCACAGCAGAGGAAATGGCTGGGCAAGCGAGAAAGTGGAGAAAGTGGCAGAGAGCGTGAGAAAGAGGCACCTCCCAGCCCCAACCCGCCAACCTCATCAGGCAGCTGTAGTCCAGGACCAGGCCAGGCTGTGTGACTGCTCTCTGTTCTCCTGATGTCTGGGGATCTGTCCTTTATAGGGACAGGGTTGTGTATCTTGATCTCTGGGAAGGTCTACATGTTTGGCCAAGTTGGGGTGAGGCGAGTCTTTATTTATGTCCATCTGTCCCTAGAGGGTGAGGGGCTGTCCCTCTTCTCTGCAAGATCTGTGTATCTATTCCTTTGGGAGTCATCTGTCATTCCTGGGGAAAAGATTCTGCATGGCTGTCCTGCAAGGAAAGGGCTGTTTATCTACCCTGCTAGGGGAGGGTCTTCATCTATCCTTGGGAACTGTTTTTCTGGCCCTTGTTTTGTGTTGGGCAGGGGGCATCTCTGTATCCAGCCTCATGGTACTCCAGCTATGTAGGGCTGTGGTATGAGGTCCAGATTTCCTGCTTGGTCACCCAAAAGCTGGACTTCCCCTGATGGGGGCCCAGGCTAGGCAGGCAGCACCAGTCAGTACCCCGCCTGCCTGGCTTGCTGCTGGGCACTGCTCCCTGCTAACGCAGCATGTACCAGGACAGGCTCCCCCCTCCACTCCCCTCCCTGGCCCAGCTGCCACCCCCAGCCCCCGCAGCCATGCTGAGCCTGATTTATGGTCCTGGGTTGAGGCTGGACACTGCCAGCGCCTGGGTCAGACCTTGAAGAGACCTCAAGTGGCCCCCCCAACCTGACAGGGTCAGGGCCCAGCAAGAAGCAAGGGGAACCAAGGGAGGGTGAGCAGAGCAAGGACCTAGGATGACAGGCAGGAGGCAGAAGCCAAGGCCAGAGCCTCCAGAGCCCCACAGCCCTCAGACCAGCTATGAGTCCAAGTGGGGACCCTGGAGTGGGCCTCCTGCCCTCAGAAGGAACAGGAAACATTTCGAGTAAGGTCCTTTCCTCAGTCTGGCACTGACTCTGTCCTGTATCATCACAGGCAGCTAGGTTTCAAAGTCCTTGCAAGTGCTGGAGGCAGAAGTTCTGTCTGGGACTGAGTGCTGGTTCTTGTGGGGTTGGGGGGGATGGGAGGGGGACAGGCTGAACTGTAAGATTGCAAGGCCAGGCTTAGAAAGGACTGGAAGCTTTCTCTGAGGAAGCCCAGAAGCCCTGGGGTCTCTTTGGTGGGGGGGCTGGGGCTCACCCAAATCACTATGCTAAAACTCCCTCTCACATGAGGGACACAACTCTAACCTGCTAACAATGCTACCTCACGGCTATGACAGGCCACCACTGCTCAATATCCAGGACCACATAGCCTGCCACTTGACAGGCTCTCTCAGGCTTCCCTTTGCTGCCCCAGAGCACTGCTCTGACTGAGCACCCTGGGCCACTATAACTCATTGCCCATGACCTTCAGAAGTTTCTCACCTCTTTCAGATTGAGCTATACCTAGACCAAGATCTTGTGGCCAGAGCCCAGGTAGTGGAGCAGCCTTGTCTACTCCAGGCCTCAGGGAAGGGACACAAAGCATAGCCCCTGGGGTGTAGCACCCCCCCTCAGAACCCAGACCTCAGACTACCCTTCCTGAGTCACAGGGGCACCTCAGGGCTGGGGAGGGGGCCAGGGCCTCTGGGCACTGGGCCCAGTGTGGGTGGGTGTGGGGGGACAGGGAGGCAGGCTTCCTGGGTCTCCTGTGAGGATAAACAGCAGGCTTTGAGGCCTTGGAAAATCCCGCCTGGGATTCCAGACCCTGCCGGCGTCACTGCCTTTTGACTATTGTCCCCTTCGGAAATGGGCCCAGCCCCCGGCCAGCAGGGACAGAGCTACCATTGTGTGGCCCCACCAGGCTCAATGCCCCCTTGTTAGCCCTCCCAACCCCTAGCAAGACTTAGAGGCCAGTTCTTCCAGTTGCTGAGTGGAAAGAAAGGCCTGCCTCCAGGCTCCAGCCCTTGGGTGGGGCAGAGCAGGGCAGGGCAGGGTGGGACTGGTAGATCAGCGCCCAACTCCCATACTCCTGCCCCATGTATCCCAAGTACCAGCATCCTGGAAAGGAATTGCCATCAACGAACCTTCTTTTATTTTGGAGGCTGTAGACTGGGAGGCCAAGTGGTCAAGTAGTTTGGCCACACCCAACTCAACTACTAAGCCAAGTGACCTTGGGAAAGTCATTTCCTTCCTCTGAAGTGGATTCTCCTTTATTGGAAAGACAATAGCTAATATTTATTGGGCGTTTACTATGTGCCAGGCTCCATTTGAAACACTTTATGTATATCCACTCTTGTGATTCTTTTTAGCAATTTTATGAACTAGCTACATTTTTTCCTTCACTTAGAGATTAAAAACACTGAGACACAGAAAGATTAAGTAATCTGCCCAATATTGCACAGCTAGTAAGAGTTGGAGGCAAAATTTTCCTTCCTTCCTTCCTTCCCTTGCTTTTTTCTTTTCTTCCTTTCTTCTCTTCTCTTTCACCTTGTGATGCTGGGGATGGAATCCAGGGCCTCCCTCATGCTAAGCACACACCTTACCATGAGCTACACTCCCAGTCCTGGAGCCAAGACTTAAATCCAGATAGCCTGGCTCCAGAGTCCTTGCTTTACCCATGCCACTGTGGATCCCGCCTGTGAGGTGGGTCTAATCCTGCTTTCCTCATTGTGGTCGCATACCATATAAAATGGACCTGGCTGGTGGTGGACAAAATACTTGACGTCTATCATGGTGGGGCTTACGAGGATCTAGGGACCAAGATTCTCCTTTGCCCCACCCTTCCCCTTCCACCAAGCACCAGGTACTGTAGAACTTTACCTTCCCCGGGGGCTTCCCTGTCCCCACATCTGTCTGTGCTAAAGGTACAAGGAAGAAAGTGACCTGAGGTGAGAATAACCCAGGTTTTGCAGCAAGCTCTGCTCCTGGCCAGAGCACTATCATCAAACCCAGCTCCCTACTAACAGATAGGGAAAGTGAGGCACACGGAGGAAAATGTCTTCTCTGATAGTAGTGGGCACGTGGAGGCTGCAGGAGGAGTCCATCTCCTCACTGCCCCTGCCAGGTGTTGGAGCTGCTAACAAACCTTCCTTGGGCCTGGTAGTGGGCCAGGGTACGAGCTTGAAAGTCCATAGTACTGTGGGGGGGCCACCATGCCCAGGCTGGTCTTCCAACCCAGTCACTTGTATAACCTTCAGAAGGCCTCAGGCTATTGTGCTTCCAGAAGTGAGGACCTGTGGCTGAGACCCCAGGAGAAGTCTTCACTGTTCCAGAGCAGAGCCCCAGGTTTCCAGGGGCCGTGGAGACGGAGACTCAGTGGTGAGGAATAGGAACCTTGCCTTCCAGGCTCCTACCAGGTCCAAGAAGGAAACGAGGCCTGATAGGCACTAAGCACAGTGAAGGGGGCTGGGCCCTGCCTTAGGCCTTAGGCTGTTGTTAATCTAGATTCATGTTTCTCAAAAGGGTGGCCCTCAACCACCTGTGTCATAAGCATTCACTGTGCTTGTGTAAAAGTACAGATTTAAAAGCCCTACCCAGCACCAACTCTTGAGTGTCTAGGAAAACAACCCAAGAATCACTTTTTTTTTTTTCCAGTACTGGGGTTGGAACCCAGGGTTTTGCACATGCCAGGACACTGAGCTACACCCCAGCCTGGGCATCTGCATTGAAGCCAGCTAAGCAACTGATAAGCTGGGAGCTGAAGAACCTACGTGGGCACTTGGGCACAGGTAGAGACCCCGGAACAATCTTCTTACCAAGAAGGCTAGAGCTCCAACTATGTGGATCCTGTTGCTGGGCTGGCAGGGGTGGGGAGATGGGGAGAATGTTGAGACTGGTACGAAACGAAACTTCCACTGAGTAACATCAGCTACTAGCATTTCAGACTCACCATACCCAGTCCCATGCCAAGCGCTACGCTGACATCCTCCTCTAAATCCTGAAAGCCACACGCTGCTGCATCTGTCTCTTCCTGTTTTACAAACGTGGAAAACAATAATCAGAGAGGGCTAGGGTATAGTTCAGTGGCACAGCACTTGCAGAGTATGTATGACTGTCCTGAGACATGAAGCCAGATCTATGGCTATGGTCACTGCTCTGATCCTTAGACTAGTTGCCATTCAAGGTGAGTGCCATCAACCAATAAGAAAGACTAGTGGAGTTTTCCCACTTGTCACATGTCATAGCTGGGCATGGTGGTACATGTCTATAATCCCAGCACGTGGGGGGAGCTGAGGCAGGAGGATTTCAAGCTCAAGAACAGCCTGGGATACATAGAGAGACCCTGTCTCAAAGATAAAAGGAAAAAAATCCCAGTGCTTTACCTAAACAACCACATGAACCAGGTGTCATCACAATCTGCCTTCTACCAATGAGTAAACTGAGGCAGGTTAGCTCTTGCTGGTAACATATAAGGTTTGTTCAGTCACCTGCCTCTTAGGTGATTATGGTGGAGTGTGTAGTAGATGTCAGAAAAAGACCATCCCAATTTCTGCTACATGTCTATTTTTTATTCAATATATTAAATATATTAATCAGAAAAGTCAACATACTATAAATCCAGGAAAAATACACAAATATAAATGTCAGAATCTGTCATTTGCTTTCTTCTCCGAGTGACAGTTTATGTACATGTGGAAGGAGGGTGGGAAGAGACAGCAAGTTAAAGGAGGCTGGAAAGGCTTGCCCAGGCTGGCGGGGGCCCCATCCCTTCCTCCCAACCCCCACCTCAACCTCTTCCTTCCTGTATTTACAGCAGCATTCAGCTTATTTACAGCAGGGCACATGTGTTAAAAACGGTTTATCTTACAAAAAACATGAAGGCCAGGACTTGGCTAGGGGCGAAAAGACAAAATAGTTGGGTCACCCCCGTGAATGCATTCCCTCCCGCAGAACTTGAACTCCCTGCCAACCTCCTGGAGTAGGTGAGGAGGTGGGTCAGTCTTACAGTTCAAGCCCAGACTGGGAGGTGCTCTGGGGGTCCGTGGGCTGTGAGTAAAGGCACATGGGGTGGCGTAAGAGCATACAAACGTGTGTACGTGTGGTCAGAGCTGGGGTCAGAAGGGCAGTGTGTCCATAAAGATTTTGTCGACGATTGGTGGAGGGGGCACCAAATCCTCCAGCTTGAGGTAGAAGATACGCTGTAGGCCCTGGGTGCACAGGGTCCGCAGCTCAGGGAGTTTGCCCAGCAGACGTGACAAGCAGCTGGCTGGCTGGGGCTCACCCGCCACAGCCGCCATGTGCTCCTTCAGGCAGCTGGCAATGCGGTTCTGCAGCTCTTCCACCCGCCTTGGCTCCTGCAAGCCATGCCGGTCTGTGGAGAAGGTGCAGAATTAGCCTCTCAGATGAGGACCAACGCCCAGGAGACCCAGCCCGCCCTAGGCCTCTACACCTGTGGCCACTGACCGCTCCTCTCATTCCTCTGGCACTGTGCACAAGTCTGTTTCACAGAAGCCATTTTCAAGTCTCATCAGCAGTCTGTGGGAGGGACTGACCCATCGCACTCCTACTCCAGGGAGAGACAGGCTGATGCCCAGAGAGCTTGAATAATTTGCCCAAGCTCCTGAGGTTTGCTCAGGAGTTCTTTCAGACTGTTCTGAAAAGCCCTGGAGTCTAGCAGGAGTGTCTTAGGGCTACCTCCAGGGGGCTGGTCTCTCTTCAGCCATGGCTCCTCTGGTTTTGTTCTATACAGATGGGTTCCCTGTCAAATTGATGTGAAAAAAAGGTACGAGGGCAGAAAACTTAAGAGCTCTGAAAACTTTGCCACTTAACGCCAGAAACCAGTCCTCCTGACATATGAACTGAAGTCCACAACAGGAACAGCTGTAGGAAGTCAGTGGTGACTGCCTCCAGCAGAGACAGTGATGGGAGGCGGCACAAGGTGGGCTTCTAGGGTGCTGGTTATGTAAATGCAGCTTGTGAAAATGTGTACACTTCTCTGCATGTGGTGTAACTGACAAGAAGATTTTAAAAACAAGCCAAAACCCCATGCCAGATACCCAACACCTGTGGTCGTATCTTGGGTCATTCAAAGGCTGGCTTTGTTGGCCTTTGGAGTCAGATGCAGTCAAGCCCCTCTCCAATTCCCACTTTGCAGGTGAGTATGAGCACAGAGCAACTTAAAGGCCCAGAAGTACTAATTGCCAGTCTACACAATGTCCTAGGACACTTCTCTTCTGAGGAGGGCTCCCCAGTACCCACATTCTTGGGAGCAGCTTGGTACTGGCCACTCACCAGTAATGAGGACAAGAGCAGAGAGGCAGGCAAAGGCAGGGACATCAACAACCAAGCTATGCAGGGACCGCGAAAAGGCCAGGATGCTGTCGATCCAGTCACCAAAGCCACGAGCACACTGTAGCCGGTGCAGCACCAGGCCTGAGCAGAAGATGAGCTTTCCCTCACCTGGCTTAGACCTGGTGGGAGAGGTGCAGAGAGTGGTCAGGGTTCAGGGCAGCTCTCGGGCAGGAGGAGTAGAGAAGGGGCTAGAAGGATGGTGGGCAGCTTACCGGTAGGCCAGGCGGAGAATGAAGAGCTCTAGGAAGGCTGACTCCAGCAGCAGGTCCTGGTCACCTGGGGACAGCTCAGCAAAGCCAGGGATCTTCTCTGCCCACTTGCGGATAACATCCAGGGAACCCGAGAGCAGGTCATAGAACTGCTGTACATCACCAGCATCTTCCTTCCCAAAGCGGGGCAGCACAAGTTCCTGGAACTGGAGGTGGGTCCAGGGGGTGAGCACCACAGAAAAGACCTCAGATGTTAGATCCAGGAGTACAGAGAGGCCCAGAATTGGGCCCGTGTGTTGGCTTGTCAATTCTACACATCAGCCCAGGGAGTGGCTGCTGGAGGAAGCCCTGCTCCCTCCCCAACACACATACACAGGAGGTGCATTTCCTCTTTTTCTGATGGGGTGCCTTTCCTAACATGCACAAAGGCACTGTGTGTGCTTGCAGCACCTTCCCCGGAGTAGGGGCAGGGTGGGCTGGGACCTCACCTTGGAGTAGTCCAGTTTGGCAGTGCTGGGCCCTGAGTCCAGGTGTGCCCGGACAAGGGAAGTGAGGAGATTGGCAGGCGAGGCATCTGGAGACTGCTTGGGTTTTGAAGGTAGCCGGCCCCTCCGCCCCTTTAGGCTGTCTGTCCGGACAACTGCAGAGAGAAATAGGTAGGGGTGAGGAAGAAAGGGATCTGAGGAGGAAGAGACCTTCAGCCCATGCTGTGTACACTTTTGCTGAGGAGCCAGGACCTAGAGCCCCAAAACCCAAGACAACCTACAACAACCTCCCCTAAACCCCTCACCATCCAGGCAGGCAAGAAGCTGCATCCTGCCCCCTGGGCCCAGGAGTCCCAGGTGAGAAAGGAAGTGAGGAGCAAATGCACCCTTCCTGTGGGCTTCTAGGTCAGATGCCAAAGGACCCTGCCCCACCCCATCAGGCTGCCTCTGCCCCACTGGGCCCCATCCCGCCACCCACCTTCCTTCACCATGCCCACAGCCAGGCACTTCTGGAAGCGGCAGAACTGGCAGCGGTTCCGCCGCCTCTTGTCCACAGGGCAGTCCTTGTTTGCCAGGCAGATGTACTTGGCGCTTTTCTGCACTGTGCGCTGGGGGGGAGCAACACGGAACAGGCTGTCAGAGGGTGGGGTAGGGAGGGGGAAGCCCAGGGGAGGGGACCTTCCAGATCCTGCTGCCGACGCAAACAAAAGCGCTCTCTGTTCATAGCTATTTTTCTAACATTTGGGTGGCAGGGGAGGGAAAGATTGGGGGGGGTGACTCTTGGAGACATTGATGGCAGTTTCTGCCTAAGGAGGAAGACCCCAGGACCCAAGACTAGGGACTAGGACTTCCTGGC